ACATGGCTTAGGACTGGCCCCGGGTGCTCCCTGGGACCAGGGGGTGGCTCCGCCTGCCAGTGCCCAGCGAGGGGCCTAGCCCTCCACAGAGCTGCCCCAGTCAGGGGCCCCCTGGGGGCCAGCTGGACCCATTTGCCCCACTCAGCCAGGCAGGCAATCGCTGCAGTGTCCCCAGGCGCCCGGGCGCTGGGCCATGGCCTGCTGCTTCAGCAGAGCAGGGTGCCAAGGGGCCAGTGTCCTGCACCGCTGCAGGTCTGGACTTTGTGCTCCTGCAGCTGCCTGGCTACCCAGCCCCTCTGCAGCCCGCCGGCACACGCACTGCACTGCTTGGCGTCCCCATGTGCCACAGCCTGTCCTGGGTGTCCGGGGCCCTGCCCTGGCCTGGGGAGGGAGCACACACATGCGGGGGCACGGGCCATGCAGACAAGCGCATGCAGCGGGCTGGCCCGCACTGGGCCGTGCACGGTACCTGCTGGCTGAGTCACGCTCATCCAAGTGCTCGGCGGCAGCATGTCAGGTAAGAAGAGGGTCAGGAAAGAGCAGGCCAGGTCTCCCCTGGCAGCCCAGGCCTGGCGCTCCGGGGTGACAGGCTGAGGCAGCTGCACGTGGCCTGACACCCAAGGAAGGCTCGGGGTTCGCAGTGGGCACTTCCCCCAGTGCTCCCGGGTCCCAGCTGGGCCCAGAGCTGCGGTGTCAAAAGCCCATTTACTGACGGCTCCTGCAGAGGGGCTCCCGGAGCAGCCAGATCTCTTGCGAGGTCACTGCTCCCCTGCCCAAATACAGCCCCTGGCATCCACGGTCTTCCCATTGCCCCGTCCTCAGGGCCAGGGCCCCATGCACACAGGGCCTGGCTAGCACAGGGTCGTTCCCACAGGAGGGAGGGGCTCCCCGGCCTACAGGCAGCTGTGAGCACAGAAGAGAGTGGCTGGGGCCCGGAGCAGCCAGATCTCTTGCGAGGTCACTGCTCCCCTGCCCAAATACAGCCCCTGGCATCCACGGTCTTCCCATTGCCCCGTCCTCAGGGCCAGGGCCCCATGCACACAGGGCCTGGCTAGCACAGGGTCGTTCCCACAGGAGGGAGGGGCTCCCCGGCCTACAGGCAGCTGTGAGCACAGAAGAGAGTGGCTGGGGGCGGGCGCGCCGCGGGGGGGCCGGGGGGCCCCCGCGGCCCCCTGCCACACCCACCTGGCTCTCCACCAGCATGGCCATGTCCATGAACATGTCGTGCAGCTCCCGGATGCTGTTCTCCAGCTTGATGATCTCGCTGTGCCGCGTCTCAATCTCGTTCAGCGCCTGCTTCGTGATGCTGGAGTCCATGATGATCTGCAGGGAGCGGGAGAGGGCTCTTGGGCACCGCCTGGGGAACCCATGGGGGGCGGCTTAGCCCAGGGGCTCTCATGGGCCCGGCCTTCCTGCGGCACTAGCCTGGTAATGGCCGGGGGGCCCAGATGCCTAACGCAAAGGCTCGCGTGTCGTGAGCTCTGGCAGGGCAGACACTAGAGCCGGGTGGGTCGTGGCCTGACCGTGGCACGTAAGCAGCCAGTGCTGATGGGGCTGGAGTTGGCTCTCGCAGGCGGACACCAGCAGGGCCGGTCTGGGCTGGGGCGACGCCAGGCCGCGGTGAGCGTCCCACAGCACTAGACTGCATGCACCGTTGCAGGCTCAGGAGAGGCAGCCCCCTGCACGGAGCTGGGCCTTGCCTGCGGGAGGCTGACTGCCCGGGGCCCCCAGGTGCTCGTGGCTGCAGCGCTGGCTGCCCGGGGCCCCCTGGGGCTCGTGGCTGCAGCCTGGGAGGATCTAGCACAGCGCCAGGGCCAGCCAGCCGCCCTCGCATCCCTGCCTGGCCCCGCATGCCACATGGAGCTCTTGAGCTGCTGCCCAGCTGGGATACAGGGTGTCCCCTGCAGCCACCAGGATCTGCTGGGCCAGGGCAGGCTTGGCCCTGGGCGCTGGCTGCCCGGGGCCCCCTGGGGCTCGTGGCTGCAGCCTGGGAGGATCTAGCACAGCGCCAGGGCCAGCCAGCCGCCCTCGCATCCCTGCCTGGCCCCGCATGCCACATGGAGCTCTTGAGCTGCTGCCCAGCTGGGATACAGGGTGTCCCCTGCAGCCACCAGGATCTGCTGGGCCAGGGCAGGCTTGGCCCTGGGCCCAGCAATGGCTGGAACCTCCCACTCCTCATGCTGCAAGTGGCCTGTGCTGAATGACCTGGGTCTCAGGCAATACCTGGCCCTCGTTGGCCCCGGCCCTAATGCAGCTTGGCGTCTGCGGCTGCGTGCCAGCCCCCGTGCTCAGGGCGGCGCCACGTGCTGTGCCATGGCCATGCCTGTTCTTTGTCCTGGGTGCCAGCTGTCTGGAGCAGCGACCCAGACCCTGGGGGGTTGTACATCCCCGGGGCTCTGCTTTATCCCCCGCTCTCCTTGGCCACAGTCCCTGCAGTACAGCTGGCTGGCTGTACTGGCCCCCAGGCAACATGGGCTCTGCGGGGCTGGATTTCTCCTGGGGAACGAAACGGCTCGTGTCTCCTGAAGCACCTGCCTGCTCCGGTCAGGAAGCGTCCCAGGGTGCCCTGCCCCTCGCGTGAGCAGGGCTGGGCCACAGAAACCACCCACTGGCCTTTCCCCCTCCCTTGGCTCATGACATTTCCATTTCCTGCCCGGACGGCGGCTCGACTCCGGACAGCACAGAGCCAGACACTGATGGCACTGGAGGCGGCTCTCTGGTGACCCCGAGGGGCTGGGGAGGGAGCACGGGCTTCTCCATGCCAGCACCAGAGTAGTCACTGCGGGTGTCACTCCAGGGCTCTGGCCAGCACCGCTCACGGGCATCCAGCGAGGCTCCCAGGAGAGCGGCAGCGGGGCCTGAGGGCTGCCAGGCTCCTGTCCCGAGCAAGGGGCTGGCTTACACGACTCGGGCGCACTCGTCACTTGCCTCCGGGATCCCTGCTTCTGGAAAGCCAGAGAGCAAGGCAGGGGCACCGCACAGGGGCACTGGGACAGGGAGGGAAAGGCAGATGGGGAGGGGCTCTCCAGGGCTCTGGGGATGGGGGAGCGATGGGGCAGAAGAGCCTGTGGGGCTGAGAGAGGGGAGGGGCTGCACGGGGGCATAGCTGGGCCCTTGTAGGCTGGGGGGAATGAGCTTCGCTCACGTGGCTGTGTGCACAGGGAGGAGGAAGGATTCTAGCAGCGGCTGGGCTCTGCCCCATCCCGAGACAGCTCCAGCCGAGCCACACCTCTGGCAGTATTGCTCGCTGCCCCCACCCAGACCCTGCACTGCTAAGGACGTACCCCAGAATGGGCCAAGGAGAAAAATCAGATGCCTCCTCCCGTTTGCATCCAAGGGCCTGGTTTGTATTGGCTTTGCCTGCGGGCGCACGAGCCAAGCAGGGCAGGAGCGCGCGGGTAAGGAACAGTCAGCAGGCGAGACGGGCTTGCCGTAATGTCAGTCGCTCGCAGGGCGGGAGTGCACGGGTGAGGAACAGTCGGCGGGCGAGACGGGCCTGCCGTAATGTCAGCCGCTCGCAGGGCAGGAGCGCGCGGGTAAGGAACAGTCAGCAGGCGAGACGGGCTTGCCGTAATGTCAGTCGCTCGCAGGGCGGGAGTGCACGGGTGAGGAACAGTCGGCGGGCGAGACGGGCCTGCCGTAATGTCAGCCGCTCGCAGGGCAGGAGCGCGCGGGTAAGGAACAGTCAGCAGGCGAGACGGGCTTGCCGTAATGTCAGTCGCTCGCAGGGCGGGAGTGCACGGGTGAGGAACAGTCGGCGGGCGAGACGGGCCTGCCGTAATGTCAGCCGCTCGCAGGGCAGGAGCGCGCGGGTAAGGAACAGTCAGCAGGCGAGACGGGCTTGCCGTAATGTCAGTCGCTCGCAGGGCGGGAGTGCACGGGTGAGGAACAGTCGGCGGGCGAGACGGGCCTGCCGTAATGTCAGCCGCTCGCAGGGCAGGAGCGCGCGGGTAAGGAACAGTCAGCAGGCGAGACGGGCTTGCCGTAATGTCAGTCGCTCGCAGGGCGGGAGTGCACGGGTGAGGAACAGTCGGCGGGCGAGACGGGCCTGCCGTAATGTCAGCCGCTCGCAGGGCAGGAGCGCGCGGGTAAGGAACAGTCAGCAGGCGAGACGGGCTTGCCGTAATGTCAGTCGCTCGCAGGGCGGGAGTGCACGGGTGAGGAACAGTCGGCGGGCGAGACGGGCCTGCCGTAATGTCAGCCGCTCGCAGGGCAGGAGCGCGCGGGTAAGGAACAGTCAGCAGGCGAGACGGGCTTGCCGTAATGTCAGTCGCTCGCAGGGCGGGAGTGCACGGGTGAGGAACAGTCGGCGGGCGAGACGGGCCTGCCGTAATGTCAGCCGCTCGCAGGGCAGGAGCGCGCGGGTAAGGAACAGTCAGCAGGCGAGACGGGCTTGCCGTAATGTCAGTCGCTCGCAGGGCGGGAGTGCACGGGTGAGGAACAGTCGGCGGGCGAGACGGGCCTGCCGTAATGTCAGCCGCTCGCAGGGCAGGAGCGCGCGGGTAAGGAACAGTCAGCAGGCGAGACGGGCTTGCCGTAATGTCAGTCGCTCGCAGGGCGGGAGTGCACGGGTGAGGAACAGTCGGCGGGCGAGACGGGCCTGCCGTAATGTCAGCCGCTCGCAGGGCAGGAGCGCGCGGGTAAGGAACAGTCAGCAGGCGAGACGGGCTTGCCGTAATGTCAGTCGCTCGCAGGGCGGGAGTGCACGGGTGAGGAACAGTCGGCGGGCGAGACGGGCCTGCCGTAACCTCAGCCGCTCGCAGGGCCGGTGTGAAGGCCCCCAAGAGCTCAAGGTGGGGAGAAGCCTCTGCAGTGCCCCTGGGAGGGGTGTCTGGGTGCAGAGAGGGGAACGTGAGGCAGGGCGTGCTCTACTTGTCGGCCATTTGGTCACAACTAGAAGCCTGGGCTGCCCCTGGCTGTCATGCTGGTGCCTGGGGCAGGTGAGATCTGCCGGAGCCAGCCGGTGCCCTTCCCCCTGCCCTGGTGTGCACTCCCTCCGCATGCTGCGGGCACGTTCTCTGGCCCTGCCGAGGCACCTGGAAGTCCTCGGCCTGCTCTCACAACACGCAGACGGGGGGGGTGGGGACTCCTGTGCTCTGAGATGCTGCTGCATACACAGGCAGGTGGGTAGTGAACAGCACAGGCTCCGTCCGGCTGGCTGGGCTGTTCTCGGTCCCGTCCCGGCTGCACTTGGGCTTGAGCTGCAGGAACCGAGTGCCTTACCCCCGAGGAGAAGATGGCCGGATTCCCGCTCTCCAGCATGTCCTCCAGCTCCTCACTGGTCGTGGTCCTGCCAGCTGCAAGGAACAGAGAGGGCAGGAATTGAGAAGGGCAGAAAGTAGCTAGGCATAGCCCAGGGCCCTGCCCCTCTGACCCTCAATCCGGCAGACCCCGTGGCGAGCCTTTGGCTTTGTAGACTCTACGGGCCAGGTCTGCTTTGGCCAGAGGCGCACAGGTGCTGCTGGAAGGCGAAGCAAGCCCCGGCCTCCAATGTGCTCGAGAGCAGTCACCGACTGGCCTGGCGCCAAGGCCCCCTCCGTATAAAGAGCAAGGAGCGTCTCCCATTGTCCCGGACAGTGGCCAGCAGGAGCTGGTATCTGCCACGCTACCCCCTGGTGTGGATGTCTCAGAGCACCGACGCTCCCCGGGCAGTCCTGAGCCAGCCAGGGGCCCCAGTCCACAGGGGCTGGGTGCTGTTTGTCCATAGGCTGCTCTCCGGGCTGCCGTGGCCCAGACTAGGGCCAGTTGTGTCCAGAGAAAAGGGGCAAATGTAAGCGTCACGGCCCTCTCTAGAGTGACTCTCCCCGGATCCTCACTGGGGTCGCCTTGCCCCATGTGGCCGTGACGCCCCCACCAACACCGCACGGTGACTGCCCCTCCTCTAACACTGTGCTGACAGGGCCAGGGCCAGGGTGCATCGGGGTGGGCCTGTTGCTGTCCTCTGCCCGGGCAGCCCTCTGGCTTGCAGCAGGGGTCAGAGCAGAGCCCAGGCCTACAGAGCCGGGAGGTGGCTTGTGAGAAGCTGTTCTCTGAGTGCCACATGGGCGCGGCCAGGCAGCAGAGCTGGGCAGCCTCAGCCTTCCCCGCAGCACCGATTCCAGCTGCCTGGTTTTCTCCCCGCGTCGGGGAGCCAGGCTGGCATGCACAGAGGGTCTGCACCGGGGACCTTATCCCCGTGATCTTTGGCTGACCTGCTCTGCGGCTCGGGGCGCCGCTGACACCAGCAGCAGTGGCCTGGCTAAGGGAGGCTCTGCCTCCCGGGAGGAGAGCTCTGGCCACGGGAGGCTGCCTCCTCCTGGTCCCTGGGGCTCGACGTTCCACCACGACGGAGCCAGAGGGGCCACGCTTGTGATGGGACTCTGGGAAAGGCAGCAGCTCTTGGGGAGGAAGGGAGCAGCCTCTGGAGAGCCGGCCCTCGTTTCAGGAGCCTGCTGCTGCAGCGTGTGCCTAGGGCCCAGAACCAGCGCCCTATGCTCGAGCCTGCCCCAGCCAGCCAGCCGAGCCGGGGTCGGAGCAGCAGCCTGTGGCTCCTCAAGGGCTGAAGAATGCACATGGCGAATGGCTCCCATTTGACGGGGGCACCCACGGGCCTTCGGAAATCCCAGGCCATGCCTGGCGCCCTGCAAGAGACGCAACGGCTTGGAAAACGCTGCTCGTCAGCTTGGAAATGGGTGGGTTGGTGGAAGTTAAGATGTCGTGGAACTCAGATCTGCCCTGGCATAATGGTGAAGGGACCATTTACCAAAGCAGGGCTACCCAACACGTAGTCCGCAGGCCACACGTGGCCTGTCGCCCATGTGTGGCCCGCGGGGCGGGTTGGGTTCACGTGGGGCTCGACACACAGCCCGCGGGCGGGACCCTTCGACTATGGCCGCCACTGGGAACACGCTGCACAGCCAGGTCTGATACGCGTTTTAGTAGTTAATGGCCAGGCTCCTTCCAAGTGCTGGCACGGGCTGGAAAGCGGGTAGATGTTGCATTTTATTAATAGCAGCAGAACTGACTTCAATGGGGCCAGTGTGTTGTGTAGTCTTGCCTTCATCTTTGTATTCATGGCCATCAGTGTGAAAGAAGCTATTTGCATATATTTGCATGTTTATGCAACCACACTTAAGTTGCAGTCTTCACCATGTGCTGTGGGTATCACTGTGGCCCCCTGGGGCGTCCAAAGTTGAATAGCCCTGGCCTAGGGTGTTATGCAAATGTCAGAAAAACCTACAAAATGTTGATAAAAACCCAAAAGAACAAGCGAGAGAAAAACCCTACTGGAAACGAGGAAACTGGCTTCTTAAGGGGCTGGAAGGGACCCTGATAAACTGGCCAGGAACCCAGCTCTGCCAACCCTGAGAGCCAGCTGCCTCGTGAAATGTAAAGTGAGTGAGCAGAACTCACAAATAACACACGTGACTAATGGGACCTGGACACCTACAGAACTAGCTGTGTTTATTTGGGAGGAATGTGACAACGGGTGGCCAAATCAGTGCACAGCCCATCTGTGACTATTATTCATCTGCCTCTCTCAAAATATTAAATACACAGAAGTGAGCAGTGAAAGCCAGGCCCCTGTCGAAACGCAACAGGGAAAGGTAGCACTGAATGGCTGCTTGGGGTGCAGGGGGAATGGGGCCTAGGGCTCTGGAGGCCTTCGCAGCCGCATGCCAGCGCCCACCAGGTACCTCCCCTCGCTGCGCGGAGCAGGACGCCAGGCGGCACCCGGCCCTGGGAACGGCCCCAGTGCTGAGATGAAGCCCCTGCCGGGGGCTGACGGCCCCGCACTGACTCTGCTGCTGCAGGCAAGGCCCAGCTCCAGGCACTGTCCAGCATTCGACTGGCCGCTAGATTGGAGCTGGGTTTGGCTCCTGTGCACGACCCCCGCCTGGGGGAGCGGCCACAGAGGCTCCCCGACTGTGCTGCAGAGAGAGGGGCTGCCAGGACTCACCGCCCTACGAGCAGGCTTCTCTGGCTGGTGCTGGCCTGGCCCTGCACTGCCCCCATTCCCCATGGCACATCGACTTTGCCAGCAGAAGGGAAACCCTCCATCCTTGTGGCTGAGCGCTATGTCTGCTCAGTCCCCTAGCCATCTCCCCGTGAACGGGGGAGGGTGAGAAACAGGCCGGTCACTGAAATCGCTTTAACTAAGTGCCCCAGCTCCTCATTAGGGTTGCCAGGTGTCCGGTATCGACCCGGGCAGTCCAGTATTTTTTCCTCCTGCCCAGTAAAAAAAAATTCAGAAAATACTGGACACCTAAAATGTTTTCTCCTGGCCAAGAGGCAAAATACCAGACACCTGGCAACCCTACGACACACTCGGCAATTGGGGTCAGCCCCTGGCCTCCCCCTGCCCCCAGACGCCCTGCTTACCTGGTTCTGCAGGGAAGCTGCAGTCTGCCTTGACCAACAAAACAACATGGCCACCGGCAAAAAGCCTAAAGACCAAGGGGACGCAATGCGCAGCCACGCCGCTGTTCCTATCCCTGTTCTGACTCTGCAGTGCTCTGAAAGGGGCCCTGCTGTTTGATTTAATTTTTTTTCCTTAACTCTCAGAGTCCTTTTTTTTTTTGCTCAACAACTTTGGTCTCCCCCCCCCCCAATTTTTTTCCTGCAACAGAATTTTTTCCCCAGTGTTTTTTTTCTGAGGGGGGGAGTGTTCGGTATTTTTGGTTAAACCATATGGCGACCCTATTCCTCGTGCAGGGTGGAGCTGACGTCTCCATGAAACTCACACGCTTTGCTGGTTAAAGGGAAGCTTAGCCCGTGTTCCTGACAGGCGGAGAATCATCCCCCTGAAGTTCTACCCACAAGCTCACCCTCAGCGCCCCCACTGGGATCTGGAGCCGACAAACGGAAGTTCAGGAATTTCCTCAGGTTTCTGCTCCTCCCTCCACCAGCTGCAAGGGTCAGATTTAAGACCTTCCATATGAACCCATGCCTGGGCCATTTGCAGCCCAGAGGACGTGGGAGCCTGCCCGTACGTCTCACGCCCACACTGGGAGGGCCAGCGTTTTGTTCCCAGAGGCTTCCCTCCCCTGCCCCTGGGGGCTGATAGCAGCTCTTGAGCCACATGTAGACACACAGCCCGTGCCCAGGGAGACCCACGGAATCTCTAGCTTTGCAGGGAAAGTGAAAATCTTCTCCCAGCCTGGCTCAGACCCAGGTTCACGGCCTGGCCCTGGGGAATGCTGAGGGAGCTCACATCTCACTCCATTTTTCTACTGGACGTGAGCCAGCCCCTGCCTGCAGAGCTGCTGTCCCCTGCACAGCTCGTGCCCAGCTACCGAGGCTTGGCAGAAGCCCGTTGTGGTTTTGTCATTTGTATTGATCACAGCGAGTTTGTCTTTCCACTTGTTTGGACAGCTAGCTGTTGAGAAGCGCCTTGCGCGGGGGGGCGGGGGCAGACACCAAGGAGTAATGTTGAGGGACATGTTACAGGTTTCTGAGTAAAAACAAGAGGAGCCCTGTGGCACCTTGAGACCAACACGTTTATTTGGGCCTAAGCTTCCCTGGGCTGGCACCCAAAGGGCAGCAAAGCGGGTTCTAGCCCACGAAAGCTTAGGGCCAAATCAATTTGCTACCTGCAATTCCCGCTGCAACGCCTGTCAGCTGCTGCAGCAGAATGCCAAGCAGTGTCTGAGCATTCACAGAGCCACCCCGAGGGGTGCGGAGTTCCCCAGGCCCCTTTGACTCGTGCTGTCCTGCCTGGAACGATTTCTGCGTGGCTCCGTGTGTGAGCAGAGCGCTCACGGCTCACCCACCTTCCAGCCGACAGATGAGGGGTGAGGAATAGTGCAGGGAGCTTTGGTGAGGATGCCAGCCTGTTAATGCCATTGGCCAGACACGGCCGAGGAGCCTCAGCAACGCGGCTTGCTAAAAGCAGGGCACTAATTAAGCAATAGCCCAGTCCCCGCACTGAAAAGGGCTCCCTCCTCGCTAACTCAGCAGCTATTAATTGCAACCTCTGCACACCTCTCGCAAACACTTGACAGCCGGCTGCCGGCGGCACAGCCCACGCGTGCAGCTTGTCGCCAGCATCACAATACACACAGCAGTCGCCGAGGAGACGGCCGCCCGCGGCAGGAGCAGAGTCGAGAGGCTGAGCCAGGAAACAGCTTCCAAGAGTTTCACCGGCTCCCTGGCCACGCTGAAGCAACCTGCTAGGAGCTGCCTGCCGCACTGGGACTCCCCAGACTGGCGCTGCAGCTTGGAGGGGCAACGCCTGCGGGGCAGGCCGGGGGCGGAGGGGGGTGAACGCACAGGCCCCCAGTGTGCCTAGGTTTCATAGGCTCTTCTGCCCCTTCACAAGGTCCATCCATAGCTACAAGGGGAGGCGCCGTAGGCTGCTCCAAACACACACAACGCCCCACATGTGCTGTATCTAACCAGGGGAGGAGAGCGCCCGGCCCCGTGGGCTGGGGGCAATGGGGTTGGCAATTGGTCACCGTGTCAAATCCAACGCAAGCCGCGGGGGGCCTCTCGGAGGATACAGCTGCCACCACACAGAGCTGGGGTGCAGGCAGGAAACGTGCAGGGACAGCAGGGGACCGGCAGCTGAGAGCAAGGTAACATCAACAGGAAATGAAAATGCGGCTGCACCAGATTTGGGGGCTCCCAGGAAAGGAGTCTGGGGTGTCAGCCCAACCCTCCCTGGAGCCCTCTCCCAAGGGTCCCATCACAACAGGCACCAGTTGGCCCCTTTGAGAGGCCCTGGAGACGGGATTCCTCCTCAGCCTGGCAGCCTGTACAGGGTCCAGTCCACGCAGACATAACCAGGCTCCTGTGCTGTCAACCGGCACCTCTCCACAGCCTGCAGCTCCCTCCCAACCCTGAGACTGTCTGCGTCCAGGCACCCAGCAGGCCTGGCTCTCCGGCAGTGCAAAGCAGGCCAATGTGGGCCTTGCCGGAGCCAGCCACACCGAGAGCTCTGCTCTCCTGACATGATGCTACTCACTGATTTCCAGCTGCCTTTGAATCCTCCCTTTGCAGCGCTCCCGGTAGTCAGACTGGGTGGCGTTGTACTCGGACATCACCTCCACGAACTTGCGCGACAGCGTGGAGTGCTGGCGAGGGAAGCGTAGCAAAGAAAGTTGCGTTTTACTTAGTTCCCCAGGGAGAGCGGCCGTTCTCCGCTGAGCCTGGTCCCAGCTCTGAAGGGCACCCCCTAAGCGGCTCTCCCCTGCCATTGCCAGCTCCGAGGGACCCCAGTGCAGCGCGCAGCCACCCGACAGCGTCTGCAGCAACATCATCTGCCT